TATTTTATTTCTTCCCCCTCTATTTCATTACACAATGAAATTAAGTTTTGCACGTTTGTATCTTTTCTTTCCTGTGTCCCCGCGGCTTTATTTGGGTGGCTTTTACACTTACTGAACTGCTGCTTTTAATCTGCTCTTCCCCCGCATTTACGTTTGAGGTTTTTATTGGTGTTTTGGTTTTGGTATTTTTTTTTGGAGCTCCTCACCTTGCAGGGGAAGGGATTTTTTTGGGTGACCCACCTGCTTGCTACTGTGTTTGGCTTGGACAGTGGAACTCCTAAACTCCCTGCTGGCACGTCCTCAGAGTTCCTGAGCTTTGGGATATCTCTGGGAATCACGCTGGTCCCTTACTCCCTGGAAATCACACCGTGCCCGTACCCACAAGGGATCGGGTGGCTCTTTAGGAGTGAGAATCCGCGCAAGGAGGTTTTTGGGAAGCTGGCACAGGAGTAGGAATGGGATTGCTTGGTAACTGCACACTTGAATTTCCTTTTCCCGAGGCGAAACGCCTTTGGCAGCGCTGCTTATGGGCTGCGTGTAAATTGTGGCAGCTTTCAGCTCTTCACACAAGTGTTGTTCGTGTTCGTTATTTGTTCAAATGGAAGCTGCAAATCTTCATCTTGCACGTAGAGGACAAAAATAATTAAAAAAAGAGAGGCCAGGTAAAAAAACCCAACAAAATAAAATGGTATTTTTTCTGGAAAGTGTACCCAGACACTGCTGTTACAAGCGACTTAAGGAGTAGAGAGGTGCTGATGTACTATAGGGGTGTCTACTTTTAACCTTCCTTGCTTTGTGTGACAGTTAATTTTTGTGGTTTCCTCTACCAGCAGCCACTTTGGCCTTATTTTTAAGGTAGTTTTTCAGGCAGCAAAGGGAGGGACAGGAAGAACATCCCCAGCCGCAAAAGAAATAAAATAATCAGGGTTTGATTGCAGTTGTAACACCTGCATCAAATCTTTTAAACTGTGAATTGGCTGTGTTGTCTCACCCCCTCTTCTCTCAGTCTATTTGCCCTCCTGCAGAATAGGAAGGATTTTTAATTTTTAAGCCATTTTACTTGCTCTGTGGACCATTAATTAGGGGGATTTTCAGTATTAGGGCTTTGCAGTGAAGAGTCAACTTGGAAATTAATGCACCCAATGAAACTGAAAACTGACATGAATCATTAGTAGAGGGGAAAAGTCAGTGTGTGCTTATGATTCTGTGAGTGCTGTAAAACTGCTGTTAAATGCACTTCAGTTTTTTTGGGAAACAAAAAACCTTGTGCAGTTTGAAGCTGCCTGAGTGACAGCTGCACACTCTTCCTTCTCTCAGCTAAGGAAAACCAGAGGGATGGCTTCATTTGATGGAACTTTAGTGGAATATGTAATCTTATGGGGGGATATCTGTATTTTTTGCTGAGTTTGGCTGTGTTTGCACCTCTCTCTTTTCAGCTGTAACTGGAAAACGTGCCAATAAAGGCATTATTTGTGCTCATTTTCCTGTGACTGTGGTTCCTGTCCTTAACTGTGGTAGAAGGTGATACAAGAAACGTTTTCAAGCTTTTTTTTTTCCTGCTTTTGCAGGATAAACCTGGTATTAAACAAAGGATGTTTTTACCATTTCTCAGCGCTTGCCTGACGTCAGCACCTCGTTAACGAGGCTTCCTGACTTTGCTCCACCAGTGCCTTTATTTTGCATTTTGTTGGTAAACAGATGGCAACCAAACTACTGTGGGGGATTAAATCAGCTTCCTTTTATATGAGCTCACTTATAACCCAACAGGTGCACACCCTAATTGTACAAAAGCAGGGGGTTTGCGGAGTTTGCAACGTTCAAAATCGGTGATTTTGGTTAAACTCGGACACCCCCTACCCTGGCTTGGTTGGTCCTTATAAAAGCCAGACCTTTCGATGTCTGATTGCAATCTCTGACACGTTTTCCGTGCCTTGCAGTGCCTGTTGGATGATGGTGGTGCCCGGGAATGCCCCGGTGATCCAGCAAGACCACGTTCTGGAGCCCGAGCTGGGCAGAGCCCCCCCGGAACACCCGGCCATGGGCCCCGGCACGGAACCCGCGCCCCAGGAGGTGGGCCCGGAGCTGGCGGAGGTGAGGAAGCTTCGGGAGCTGGTGAGGAGGCTGGAGCTGGAGAACCAGCACCCCAGGAGCAAGAGCAGCAGGAACGTGCTGGGGACGAGCGTGGCGGGCGACAACGCCGGCCTCAACGGCACGGAGCTCAACAACAGCATCAACGCCATGGCCGACAAGCAGGAGCTGCAGATCATGGCGGATCTGCACAGCCAGCTGAGCAAAATGAGGCAGGAGGAAGGAGAGGACAACTGCTTCAGAAGAGCCATGGATGCCCAGAGGGAATACAGCTGCAACAGTGCCCCCCAGGAGGAGGTGCCTCCCAAGGATGGCATCGACAGGTGCTCCTCCTGCGTGGATGCGAGGAACGGCTCGGAGCTGCTGGGGATCCATCCCACGGCCAGAATCCACGAGCAGGATCCCAGGGAAAAGTGTGCAGACCTAGAGAGCCTTTCAAACAACGCAGATCTGGACGAAGTGAAAGTGTTAGAACTTGAGAACTGCACTGAGGAGGAGGATTGCTGGTACGTGTCTCCAGGCCTGGGGGCTGGAGGGGGAAGGGAACTTAGTGGGAATTCCTGTGTTTGGGTGTGCAGTTACTTTTAAGGGTGTGAAGTGATTTCTATTCGTTTTTAGCAATAAGAATTCAGGTCTCATTATGGGCTCTTCTTATTTTTATATCCAGTGTACCAGAACATCATTTTTAAGAAATCATTTCAACTGTAGGGCTTGTCTTTCCCCCTTTCTTCTCTCTGAAGCACAGAAGCTTTCATTTCCCTCTAAGTTTAATCACAGATAGCTCATGCAGATGAACGAGCAACAGAACTTTTAAACCTTGTACATCAAATGCTGCATTTCAATAAGAATGTTGTAAATAAGAATCCCTGGACCATGTGGGATTTGTGGTACCTGAGGAGACGAACCCTTTCCCTTTCCTGAAGGCTGGTTCTTTGCAGTGAACCATCTCTTTTGTTCAGACATGAACTGAAGCAGATCAATGATGTAATCCTGAACTGACCTGACTCTGTGGGACTCTCCCCTCCACCAGCCTCCTCGTTTGGAACTTGTGTTATAAATCAGCAAGGGCAAGGGAAATTTAAAGTTTCAGTCGAATCCCAGCTCATGCAATAGCTGTGACTTGGGATTTTACCTTCATTTCCTCATTTTTTTTCTTAATTTTTCTTAATTTTGAAGACTTTGAAGCCTCAGGGCTTTGCAAATTGGGTTTCAGATTTGTGTAGCCAGATGAATCTGGCAGTGAGGGCAGCCCTGCTGAATACAACCCAAACCTTCATTAGCTGTTAAATTGAAGATAAAGTTTGTGTTAATGGAGTGGGACTCAATGAGGTAATGCCATCAACTCAAGCCTAAATTCAAGGTTATGTTTAAAACAGGATTATTTTTTTCTTTTGCAAGCTTATTATTAAAACCCAAGTACTGGTTCTGACTTGATCCCTGAAACTCTTGAGCATTCCTAAACAGCATTTTGAGCAGATTCCTTATAAATAAATAAGGGGACTACATTTAACAAGTTGAATTTGGAAGGCAGCCTTTATTATTTCCATGTTAATGAGAGCAGCCAGTTTTATATTCCTGTTTATACAGGACAGGCAGGGAATTGTCTGCAGTGCCATCAGGAGGGATCCCGTGCCCAGGAGCTCAGGTCTTTAATCTAAACGAAGAAGATCCTTCTTTCCCAGGTACCTTTCCCTCCAGACTTTGCAGGATCCCTGTGTTTTCTTGGAATGGGGTAACATGTGGAAAAGAGGTGCCTTGAGGAGCTGGATAATGGGATGGTACAAAGCACTTGTGCCGTTTCCATAAATTACCTTTGATTATTCTGCATCTCTCCCATCTGTTCCCTTTTCCTCTCCTCAGACAAACCTGAGGGAACAAGAAGCTCTTTTCAATGATGGCCTCTTGTTCCAGAGCTTGTTCTGAAAGTGGGGAAGGAAGAATCAGTATTTGTGTGCCTGTGACTCTTGCCAGGTATCCCAAATTCCCACCATAAACACATCTCCCCTCCAGCCCATCCGGGTATTGATGCATTCCCTTTGCAATAACCAAAAAACTGCCTGGAGGAGAAGGAGGGGATTTTTTTCCCCCAGAAAAATAAAAAGGAAAACAAACCAAAAAATAAACCAACAAAACCCCTCTTAATCTGCGGATTTAGGATCAGCTGTAATAAGGTGGCTTTGCTGATTGGGGGAATTTTGTCCTGCCTGGGTGGAGGTTGAGCAGTCAAAGGGAATAGCTGACTTTGTTGTTGTATTTGCAATCCTTTTTTTAATATGATACACAAGGAAAAAAAAAAACTGTAGCTAATATTGATACATGTCATGTGCACTCAGATACTTTCTGATTTTTGAAAATGGCTTTGTTTTTTTCCTGTCATGGAATTGATAAATTGTAACAAGCCCAGTCCTTTTTGCCGGTGAGTTCTTTTATATCATCTTTAGAGGGGATGCTTTACACCTTAAAGAATACTAAGAATTCATTCTATATTGTTGTAAAGTCTGGAAGTGTTTAAAAAAGGGGTCGAGGAGTGGGAAGCTTTCAAAAAGAGACATTTGACATCTTCCATCTTCCCCGTTCTAGTTTTAAAAACAGGTTGTGTTTTTAAACAGGCTGTTTTTGTGTTTTTTTGTCCTGTGACTTCTTAGTAGGTTAGAAAACCTCTAGTGTGGATTTTTACCACTTGGGCTGGATAAGGAACAGCAAAAGCCCTTTCCCTGGGAGGTGGATGGAGGGCTTCTCTGGGAGTGCAGGAGGAATCTTGCTCTGGTTTGAAATTATTTGGTGTATTTGGCTGAGACTTGTGTAAGGCTTTGTTTTTAACAGCTCATGGCAGTGCCTGAGCTTGGAGCTTGTGTGAAACCCGAGGCAGTGCCCCCCACCCACAGCTGTAACTCTGCCCTCTCTTTGCTTCCTCAGGTCCCTTTCTCAAATAGCTGCTCAAAATTGTAAATATCCTGGAGACCCAGTCGAGTGGATCTGGGCTTTCCATGCTGGGGAGGTCGGTGTGGGGTGCTCCCCTCAGGCTCCCAAGGTGTTTTGGGAAGGCTGTTATCCCAACAGGAGGGGACAAACCAGACATGCTCTTGTTTGTGTTGCTCAGTGTTTGCCGTTCCTGGGTGCTCCCCGCAGTAGGTAATGGGTTGTGATTTTCTGTGTGTGTTTGGTTTGCTGGTTTTCACGCCCTGATTGGTGCTCAGCTGTTTGTTGTGCATTCCCCTGCTTTGTGGGGGTTTAGTCGGTTGGTGTTTTGCCAGTTCAGAGAATCACAGAATCTCTGGAGTTTGCAGGGAACCCACCAGGATCATCCTGGCCCTGCACAGACACCCCAACAAGTCTCTGAGAGCGTTGTCCAAACCCTCCTGGAGCTCTGGCAGCCTTGGGGCTGTGCCCACTGCCCTGGGGAGCCTGTTCAGTGCCAACCACCCTCTGGGGGAAGAACCTTTCCCTGAGATCCACCCTGAGCCTGCCCTGCCACAGCTCCAGCCATTCCCTGGGGGCTGTCCCTGCTCCCAGAGCAGAGGTTGGAGCTGCCCCTCCTCTGCCCCTCCTGAGGAAGCTGCAGCCCCCCAAGAGCTCTGCCCTCGGTCTCTGCTCCAGCTGAACAGACCAAGGGATGTCACATTTCCTGCTGAGACCTGGGAGAGGGAATTTCGACCTGGAGTTAGGATGAAATGAGTCAAATTCCATCCCTCTCTGGACTATAAAACGTGCTTATTAATGTGTTAATAGACAAGAGAGAGATCAAGAAATAGTAAAACTGAACACCTTAAATTTTTTCAATACTCTTTGTCCTTTTTGCCAGATTTTTGCCTCCATCCCCTCAGATGGGATGAGAAATCTCTGCCTCACCTTGAACAACTCCAGTTTTTCTCCTTGTTGGAAGGAACCAAGCCTGTGTTTGTGTCTGCCCCGTGTTGCTCCTGCTGTTGCTTAACAACTTGATCCCAGTGGTGGAACTGCCAGTGGTTTAACACGGGCCTTCAGATGAGCTCTTATGTCCTGTTCTGCTTTTTTAAAAGAAACCACCACAACATTCCCACAAACCCCTTTACCTTTCCTTTAAATTCCAGAGCTCCTTTCAGAGGAACATGTCAAATCTTCAGGGTGTCTGTGTGAATGCACAGGTGTGCTCAGCCTGGTTTTTTTGAGGGGGTTGAGGAGGAGAAGGAATCTCTGTCCCTCAGGTGAACCCCCTGTGTTGCTGCTGCATCCATGCCTTGCACAGTTTTCATTCCCAAAAACTTTCCACTGGCAAGCTGTGCTACCCTTCAGCTCAGTGGTTTGTTGTCTCCTGCTTGAATCCCTGTTCAAATGGAGTGCCCTTGAGTTGGTGTTTGTAGGGAGGAGGAGCTTGGTTTGCTCTAAGAATCAGTACTTAGGATTTTCCTGGGAGTTCCCTGGTGTTCCCTGGATTTTCCTGGTGTTTTCAGCCTTGCCCCCTGCCCAGTGACTTTCTATATTCTTGTTTTAAGGCTTTTAATTCACAGTACTGGAATTCAACTTGCTGTTGGCTGATAGGCAAAGAAATTCTGGAAAAGCACAAAATCCAGGAATTATACCAACACATCACCTTGTGCCCCTGATTTGGGGGAGAACTTGAATTCCCTGGATTTGTGCCTTTCCCACGTCTTGTTTCCCTGTGATCTCTCCTTGTGACAGGACTCTGCTGGCAAGTTGGACGTGACTTAAAAGCAGCAATTTTGCAAGGTCTTCTTTTCTCAGCCTGGTCACTTTATTCCAACCTTCTCAAGGTGATTTTAGCATTAAATAATGTCCAGGTGCTTCATCCCAACCTTTTCCTGGCTGTGGTGTGAGGAGCACGTTCCCTGCCTGTGCCAGCTGAGTGAGGTGACACGCGAGAGAGTGTCACATCTGCCTCGCTGGGACACCCTCTGAGCTCCTTCCAAACCCTCTGGGCAGCTTTGTGGGAGCATTCCCAGACCCACCTTCCTTGCAGAGTCCCCTGGAAGGGAAAACCTCCCTGCCCTTGTGGCATTGAGGGCAAAGCACAACTTGAATTCTTGGTGAATTCCTTCTGATGGCAGAGGCTGAGTGACTGAGGAAAGTGCTGGAGGCCTTGGCTGCCTGGCCACATCTTCCACTGCTGTAAAACGAGGGGTGGGCAGGGGAATTGCTCAGTTGTGGTGCCAGAGAGGTGGAGAAAAGGCTCTGGATGTGCTGCAGGGTTGCTGCAGATGCTGCTCAGCATCAACACTCAGCTCTGGACTTGACCCCCGAGGTGCCTTTTGATCCTCGTGGGGACTCTTGGCCAGGCCAGGGGATTAAAGTGATTCAATCCTTGGAGCTGCTGTGACTTCCTGACTAGATCTGGGGCGGTTTGTGCAGCAGGATTAGTCCCCACGTAGACATGAGAAAGTGTCTTTGGGGGGGTTTATTCAGCAGGATTAGTCCCCACATAGACATGAGAAAGTGTCTTTGCAGTATCATTTCCCCCCCCTCCCCTTTCCAGCTTGTCTTTCTTGGGAATAAAGGCTCAAAGCTCAGTTTTTGTGTGGATTGTCCTCCACTTTCCCTCTTGTGTTTCCATCCCTTCAGGCCCTGGACAGTGTTTTTTCCCTGTGTCTTGTCAGTGTGGGTGTTTCTGGTCAGCAGGAGTGTTTAGATGTGAGATGAGAACAGCAAAGCACAGTAATAAATCTGAAAATGAACTCTCTGATATGGAAAGGAAAGGCAAATAAATGTGTTACCTGTTTGAAACCCGTGCTTTGTAGAAGAACTCAGCTGCCTTTTGGTGCTTGGTGGAGGTGTATCTTCTAAACCTAAATTGCTGTAAGCACATTTAGCTGCCTCAGGTCTCTCTCCTTGGCACTGTGGGGAACTCAAAGGTTTGAAAATCAGGGGAGTGTTTGCTGTTTTTGGAGCTGCTGCAGCTGCTGGTGCCAAGTGCTGTGGAAGATGCACAGCAAACCAAGCTCAAAAATGAGCTTCACTTTATACTCAGTTTAATTTGCCAACGTCCTGGTTCTGGGGCTTTCTGCTGCCTGAGTTCTCTTTTTTTAGCATTTACAGACTGTTCTGTGTGTTGAGGGTCTGAAATTCTCGGCCAATCTTGAGTTTTGCAGGATTTTTTTTTGCAGATTGTCCCACAAATTATTTTTGAATGCCTGCAATCTTAATGGAGGGGAAAAAAAATAATCTCACCTTGTGCTTGTGGAACAACTACAACCACTTGGCTTTTATCAGGGGTGTTTGTTGTAAAATACCTCGTGTGGGGAAAATAAAACACAAACCATTAGTCAGCAGAAAATAAAGATATTTTTATCTAAAGGTTTCCTCTCAGCAGCTGGAGAAAATCTCACTGCTGTTTCATAATTTATGCAGTAAAACCCCAGTACATCAAACTGGGAATATGTGGCCCAAATGTTGACATCCTGCATTTTGTAACTGTGTAAATAACTGATTTTTATTTGCAATTTGACAGAAGGGAACGGGAATTCAAAGCCCTTTCAGCAGAACGTGCTGAGTCCTTGGAATGAACTGCCAAATTAACCTGGCAAATCGAACAGCCCAGGAAGCCATACCCACCAAAAATCAAATTCTGTGTCTTTTTAAACAAAGAATCCATCCCCAAAGCCACCTGGAAAAGGAAAACAGTGAGCCTGATGCTGTGAAATCAAACCAGGATTTTATTTTAGTTTAATTTTATTCTATCAGATCCCTCTCAGCGCTCCGAAAAATTGCGTTACCTGATTGACTTTGGGGGAAAATTGCGAGTAAAAGCTTCTCTTGTCAGCTGAAATATGAGGGTCCTCTGGCAGCCAGGGAAAAGGTTCTGGCAATCCCACAAAGTGTTCCTTCCTCAGCTGGGATATTCCTGGGAACAGCCCCGCTCCGAGCCAGGGAAGGAGCTGGGGAGAGCAAGGACTGCTGAAGGAGAGCAGGATTTTCTCCCTTGACCCCAAACCTGGGAAGAGCAGCGTGACCTGCCCTAAGGAGGCTCTTGGCCTCTTTTTTCCTTGGTTGATGATTTTCCTGCTCTTTTTGTGGTCTGAACTGTAAAAGAAATCCAGAGGGAGGGAGCAGCACTTTTTTTGCTCCCCGTGTTTTATTGGATCTGAGTGGTTGTAATGCTCATTTATCCGTGAAGGAATACTGGGAAGGTTGTGTGTGTGTGTTGTCTTTCCTAAAAAGGTACCTTTGGAGATTCAGGAATATTTGTGCTCGTGTTTGTTTTGGCAATAGCAAAGCAGCTCTTGGATTTTTTTTTTTTGTTTTTGTTTTTATTTGAGTTATGGTTTTGTGTAAAGCTCGGCATGGAAAAGCTTCTGTAGGAGACAGGAGGGAACAGGCTGAATCTCTGCTCCCTGAAAAAGATGGAGCTGGGTGTGAAGTGTCAGGAGGCAATAAATAGGGAATAATGAAGGGGGAAGTGGAGGGGTTACAGTGACTGTAATTTTTCTACCAACCCTTGAATTTTCCTCTTGTGGTCGGAAATTATCTCTTGGTCGTAACACACAATTCAAACTCGAATCCTTTTCATCTGCACAACTGCTAGTTACTGCCAGGTGTATCCTAGTAACTGCTACTTGGAATTAAAGAGCTTTTTTTTTTTAAATTTAAAGGCTCTATGTGTCCCCAAGGAAATCTGCAGAGGAGAAAACATCCTCCCCCCTCAAATGGTGCCGGCAGGTGCTGGATAATCCCAGTCCTGAGATCGAGGCAGCCTGCAGGACCCTCATCAACAGGCTGGACCAAGGTAGGGGCTCTCACTCCAATTTCTTTTTAATGTGGTCAGAATCCAAGCAGCAAAAAAAAAGATCTCGGGGTTTTCAGGCTCTGGAATGGTTCAGTTTTTCAGGATTTAAAAGTTTTTGAATGGGAAAAACGTGTCAAGGAAAAATAGGGGAGGGGGTGGGAGAGAATGCCAGGAAATTGGGATTGCAGCTTTGTTCCTTATGAGAAGTCCTAGTGTTGTTGAGTGTTTCTAATGGTTACCCCCCCTTTTTTCTCCTCCTCCTTTTTCTTCCCCCTCTCCTTTCCCTCCTTTCTTTCCCTCCTTTCTTTCCCTCCTTTCTTTCCCTCCTTTCTTTCCCTCCTTTCTTTCCCTCCTTTCTTTCCCTCCTTTCTTTCCCTCCTTTCTTTCCCTCCTTTCTTTCCCTCCTTTCTTTCCCTCCTTTCTTTCCCCTCCCCAGCTCTTAAGGGTGTAAAATAGTTGTCTGCTGCTCCAAGCTCACAAAAACGAAATATTCAACTTGAAGAAACTGTATCAGTTGGAAACCAAGTTTGTCTTCCAGTTTTCTCATCCCCTAAAAGCACTTTCTGGTGGCTTTTGGCTGTGTCACTTAATCCTGAGGGGAAATCCTGCCTCCATGTGCCTGGAATGAAAACATGGAGCTGTTTAGAACCGAGGCAGGGTTTTCTTCAGGACAAAAATGAGTTTATTCTCTTCCTCCCTCTGCATCAGTGGGATGCAGCAGCTGGACATCCTACCTTTGTCCTTCCAAACATGTGGAAAAGGGGCTGAAATCCTGAGAGCCAAGGACACTGAGGGCTTGGAAGGGTTTGTTTGGAAGTTCAGGGCTGTTCTTAAGTGCTGGAAACACAACTGCCAGTTTGTTGTGCGAGGGTTTGATGTTGGGTTTGTCTCCATGTGAATTTTCCCTTGCACCGCTAATTTGGCCTCAGGGATGTCGAGTCTGAGGTCGCTGGTTTGGGGGTTTGGGTTGGTTTTTTTTCCTGCTAACAGTGTCTGGCACTGTTTGTGCTCAGGCTTTTCTGGAGTTTAACCTCGACGTTCCTGAATAGACTTTGAGGACAAACTTCATTTGCTTTTATAAACCATCTGTACTGAAAAATTTGAATGAAAACCCATTGAACCACCTCTCTGCTTTCTGCCTGAAACGTTCCAGGCTTCAGTTGTGCTCTATCCCTCCTTTTAACTAAAATGCTCTGACCTATGTGGGAGAAATCAAACAGAAAATGTATTTATATGGTGAATCTATGATATTTTCTTAGCTGATGTGCTCAGAACGGGGAGAATTGAGTTCTGTGGGCAATTCAACTCCTTGAATATATCCAGATCACAGTCTCCACATATATAATAATACACAGATATATCCACAGCATTTTCCTCAGTGGTGTAGCTGCTCTTTCCAGCTCCACTAAGGATAGATGGACTAACTTTCGCTCCCTGGCTTATTTTGGTTGTGTCATGACCACATCAGTGTGCGTGCTGAAAATAAATTTAACTCAGATAGTTGGTTTTCCATATTAATTTGCTCTCCTTTAATCCAAAGGCATAGTTTCTGTACTTCAATGCTGTCTTGATTCCATCGTTACAACTTTGGAATAATGAAGTTCCATGAGTTCTTTAAAGGGAAGGGGAGGAGTAGAAATGGGAAATACTGATGGAAACAGTCATCTGGGAAGCCCAGCACTGGAATTTTCTGAAATATGTGGCTCTTTTAAAGCCAAGGTTGTCAGGAATTATTCTTGGAATTCTTCAGAAGGGACAAAACAGGTGACATCACGTCACACCTCGTTTGAAATCCCCTTGTGACGGCCTTTAATCGTGTTTGCTCCCCTCTAGATCTTGTTTCTTTATCTTGCTCTGTGTTTCATAAACAACTGGATAACCTTTTATGGCTTTTTTGTATTTTTTCCTTCTAGCCAGTAGATGGAAAAACCTGTATTGCAGCCCCCTGGCATCTCCCAACTTGAATTCAGAGCCAGGCTCCTGTAGCAATGCACTAAACTCTCCCGGGCACCTCAAATCGACTAACAAAGCACTACTAACCTGTGGCAGCTCAGGTATGGCATGGCATGTGGAGCATGGGCTGTTTAAAACGCAAGGAGGAGTTAGGGAAAAGTTGCTTATTGCACCTCCACCCGTGGGGGGGGGGTTTGCTCACTTTTGGTGGTGTCTGTTCCGTGGGAGAAAAGCTCCTTGCATTTTAAATGGCTTGGAGTTGTTTCTCCTTTGGGATTTTAGAACTTTCTCTCTCTCTCTGTGTTTTTTTTTTTAAGTTGGACTAATTATAAGGGACTTAAAGTAAACATTGCTTTTGAATGATGTTCTGGTCTGTAGGTGTTTTCCTTTTATAAAGTTACTCAGGTTCAGTTTTCGGGTGGGAGACTTTGGGGCAGTTTCTTTTGGAAATCCGGATTTAATGCAGGTCACGGACACTTGTGCTGTAAGCTAAAAGTCTCCAGGGTAAAACCTTCAGTTGGCTGAGTGGGCAGCTAAAAAACAAAACACCAAAAGCTTTCCTTCAGCCTTAAATGTGCTTGGAGGAAGATTTCCTACCTCGGAGGCAGCTCAGGGGTGGGTTTGGAGGTGTGAGAACGAAGCTCCTCCAAAATGGGGGCCACAGCCCCTCTTCCAGGAGCTTCATTTTTATTATCCTTGGTGCAGTTCCTGCTGTTTCCTGGCACAACTGCTTTGCCTCTCGGCTTTGTTTATCAAAGGAGCCTTCCCTGTTTGTTTGTTTTGTGTGGAAATTGCTAAATCCTGCTTTGCATGTTTGAAAACAGAACTGCCAGTTTAACAATGGAACTTGATGTGAAAGAAACCTTCGTGGTTTTTTTTTTTATTTTTATTTTACCTTCTTAAAAAGCAAAAAAGGGTTGCCTGGGAATGTTTTCACAGGTGCAGCTTTGCTTTGGAGATGTGCTGTAAATTGAAACGAGCTGAACACGTGGAGTTGAGTTGGGAACTCTGCCTTTTATAAAGCTGATATTAAAAATACACCTGTTGGTGGTAATTCCAGCAGGAAACTCCTGCTTGTTCCTTGTGCCACATCCTAAAGGATGGCTTTATTTCAGCTGCTTCCGCTGTCTTTTCCTGACCCCAGGAGGAAAGGAATGGGTTGATGCCTTTCAAACAGGGAATTTGAGGTTAATTGAGCTCATTATTCCGTGCCCATGGAAGAGATTTATTTTACACCTGCACTTACACCTGTGTTTTCCATGTCAGTGGTTACTGCTCTTCCAAACTGGCTGAAGGGGTTTTATTTATATTGGGAACCTGCTGCTTTATCCTGGAATTGCCCACAGTTGGAAAGGGCTGCTCAGGGATGGGGTTGAGATGCTTTGCTGGGAAATGGTTTATTTTCCCATCGTTGTTGAGCATTATTGAGGAGGGGCACTGCCTGCAAGTGTGAGCACATGGCAGGAAAACTGGGAACTAAAGGACAAGCCAGTGGGGAATGACACCATACACTGGGAGCCTGATTTTATTCCTGGTTTATCTCTACTTGTTGATTTTATTTAAGTGATTATTTCAGTCCCTGCTTGAGCAGGATTTACTTCTTAAGCTGAAAGAGGTGTAAAGAACCCTTTAGGCTCTTGCTTTAGCAGATTGTGTTTTAACTTTGCTTCCTGTGGGTCTGAAGCTATGAAGTACTAATTGCAACTTTGTCTTGGACTTAATTAAGTCAATTCATGATGTCCTCTCTAAAGTAGCTCTGTAAGATATAGGGTCTGTACTCACAGCCCTCCCACAGTAACCCAAAACTCAGAGCTTGTTCTCTCCCCATTTCAGCAGCAAATAGAACTCCTTTTTGCCAAGGAAAAGACTGACTTGCTTGACTTAAAAATACCAAGAGGTAAAAATTTGCACTTCGGGGTGATTGTGATGATATTTTTATTATCATCATCATCATCCTTCAAACAGAAGAACTTCCCTGGTGGAAAGATCCTCCCGGTTTGGTTTTCATGAGCAAGCCCTGTCCTTCCCTGTTAAGAGAGACTTTGGCTTGTGATGGGAGGGGAAAAAAATGAGTAAACCTCAAGAAGTGGGAGGATGGGATTTAGGGTAAGCTCTGCTTTGCAAAAGCAGAGGGCAGAGCTGATGATTGAGGTTCTTTTATTTTATTCCTGGGATCCTTTTGCTGCTCTGACCGCTCAGCGACACCCCAGTCAGCACCTTGGGTAACTTTGCTGCTTAATTTCTAGATCAACAGCTGCCCTTTCCTCAAGATAAGCACCAGTATTACTGATATTTGAAATATATCCCTAAGCTCAAAATCCCCCACTGGGGATCCCTTTGCCACCCTCTGGGCAGAATTCCACAGTTTTTCTCCCCCAACTCCTGAAAACCGCAGGTTGATAACGGTTGTGTCCTCGAGTGATTCCTAACTCCCACATTCTTTCTCACAGCCATCCCCCAACTTCCCAAGTGCCCTGGTTGATTCCTGGGCTGGATGCTGTGTTGTCTGGGTGTGTGTGTGACTGTCTGTGTGTCCTCTGTCCCCCCTCCAGGGTACCTGAGCATGCACTCGGCGCTGAGCTCCCAGTCGTCGGTGGACAGCGAGCTGAGCACCTCGGACGACTCCATCTCCATGGGGTACAAACTGCAGGACCTCACGGATGTCCAGGTCATGGCACGCCTTCAGGAAGAGAGTAGGTGGCACCAACCTCCTTTGTGTTACAGCTAGGCAGCTCCAGAGGGATTCCAGGTGTTCTCCTCTTTCCCCTTTTCCCCAACGAAACAATGACGTTGGTGGTTTGCAGGGGCTTCCTGGGAAAGTCTCCACACCTAAACTGCCAATGTGGCACTTGTACAACATCCTCCTCAAGATTTATCCACAGTATTATCCAAACCCCCTCTCTGTTAATTATGTGGGTGCTCTTTGATATTCCAAATGCTCCATCCCAGGTTGTCTCTGAAGTACAGCTGAGGTTCCAGCAGGGACTGTGTTGTGGCAGTGGCAGTTGTCCCCTCCCTTGGGCAAACACAGGTGCTGTGACTGCTCTGGGGACCTGCCCCAGGTGGGAAATGACCCAGCTGGGAGGAAATAACCCAGCAAAACCTTCTGCATTTCAAGATTAGGGTTCCTGAGCAGCCTGAAATCAGAAGCTCTGCAGGGCTGAGCTTTGCAAGCTGTTCGTTTCACTCAATATACAGGTGGTTTTTCACTGCTGTGACGAGTAAAACCAGGAGTTCAGGGATGCTAAAACTGAAAGCTGAATTTACAGTTGCACTTTTGCTCTGGTAAAGTGCTCAGAGGCAGCTCTGCAAATTTAGCTTGTTTGTGTCCCAGACATGGGGGAGATTTCAGGGCTGTTGACTTTGGCTGGGGTCCTAATTGAAGAGCAAGGTGGAAAAAGGGATTGGAGCTGTGTTTCTGTGCAAGTGAAGGGTTAATTTGATTTACAGGAAATAGAGACTAAAAAGTTCTCTGTCTTTCTTTAGGAAAACATTTACTTCTAGTACTGTGCCTTTATAAATGAAAAAAAACCACTACTGTGACCTAGGAATTGGGATATGAGACCAAAAAGAGCATAAGACAGAAGATCTTGTCATCACTGTTTTGCAGCTGAGGAAAAGTTATATTCAAGTGAATAAAGCAAATAACAGCCTTCTCCTTTCTAGACTTGACCATTCTTTTACACTTTGCAATCACTTCAAGAAAAGCACCAAGGAAATCCTGGCACATTCCAGAGTTTCCACTTTGAGAGATAGAAAATCTCTTCATTCTCAGAACGATGGGAGCTTTTCATATTTTCATTGTGAAGGCAGAAGAGTGGGGAACAGCTGCTTTTTGTTAAATTTGCCTGTGTTTTGTCAGGCAGGGAGACTTGGAGAAAGGCATAAATTGTAAATAACCCAGCTGGCAGTGCAAAACAGGGATGTCTTCATTGGAGCAGACCTTCAGACCTCTGTTTCCACCTGTTGAAATGCTGCTGGGTGTGTAATTAATTGAATTAAAACACTCACCCTGTGAATTAGATCCCCATTCCTGGATAACCCAGGGGAGTTTGGTGGCAGTATATGGTGCACAGTCTCAGTTATTTGTGTCTGGGGATAAGTTGAGGTCTGCTGAATGTGAACTCTTGGCTGGAATTTAAGAGGATGGATGTGGGTGACACGGATCCAGTTTAAGGATTCCATGAACCCTGAGTGTCTCCATAAGACCAGTTGTTAACTTGACCCTCCATCGAGGGTGAATTTAATCACTGGCACAGAATATTCTGAGTGGGAAGGGACCCACAAGGATCATCCAGTCCAACCCTCAGCCTTGCACAGACCCATCCCCAGAGTCCTACCCTGTGCCCCAGAGGATCAGCCAAACCCTCCTGGAGCTCTGTTATGGTGCTGAACGAGATCTGCTTTATTCCAACAGCGAGTCCCACTTGGAGTGAGTTTTGTGCCAGGAAAGAGGCTTTTCCTGACAGACCAAGTACCCTCAGGCTCCTCATATGACTTCCCCTCAAGGCCCTTCCCCACCTTCACAGAATCAACGAGGCTGGAAAAGCCCTCTGAGATCATCAAATCCAACTTTTGACCCAACCCCACCTTGACCTTTGGGCTCTCCGCCAGAGCTTTGTGTCGCAGCAGGGTAAGGAAGGTCTCCCTGAAGGTGTGGTGACCGTGTCCCCGTGTCCCTGTGTCCCCAGGCCTGCGGCAGGACTGCGCCTCCAGCTCCGCCTCCGTGTCCCGGCGCAGCTCCAGCGCGTCCCTGCACTCCCTGCGCCGCGGCACCTACAGCGACCAGGAGTTCGACACCTACAGCCTGGAGGACGAGGACGACTACGACTGCTCCCTGTCCTTCCGCAGCGCCCACCGGTACTCCCCGTCCCCGCTGAGCTCCCCTCGCTGCCAGTCCCCCTCGTCCAGCGTGGATTACGGGAGGGGCTCCGGCCCCCGGCTCCGCGCCCCGCGCAGGGCGGGCAACGGCACCGTGCAGGACCGGCTCAAGTACGCCAACAGCGAAGGTGAGCTTGGCCACCAGCCCTGGAGCTCCTGGGGACACACAGAGCCCCACACAGCCGGGGCAGAGCTGCTCAGGGGGGGAGGGACACCAACAGTCGAGGGGAACTCCATGGGTGAGCCCCTGGAGGTCATGGGGACACATGTGTGTCCCACACAGCTGGGGCAGAGCTGCTCAGCAGGAAGGGACACCAGGACTGAAGGTGAGCTTGTCACACTAGCCCCTGGAGCTTGGGGGGACACACAGGTCCCCACACAGCTGGGTGCAGAGCTGCTTAGCAGGAAGGGACACCAAGAGCAAAGGTGAGCCCCTGAAGGTCATGAATCTCCTGGGTTGGAAGGGACCCCTGAGGATCATTGAGTCCAGCTCTTAAGTGAAGGGCCTATGTAGGGATCAACCCCACAACCTTGGCCTTGTTAGCACCACGTTCTAACCAGTTGAGCTAATGTCAGAGTGACACACGTGTCCCCACACAGCTCAGCAGGAGGGACATGGGGATGCTGGCTGGCAGCTGGCTGGATGTGAGCCAGCATGTGCCCAGGTGGGCAAAGCCAGAGGCAACTTGGCCTCTATTGAGAATAAATGTGTGTGGCAACAGGACCAGGGCAGGGATTGTCCCCCTGTGCTGGGCACTGGTGAGGCCACACCTTGAGTCCTGTGTTCACTACAAAAAGGACATTAAGGTTTGTCCTGGAGTTTGTCCAGAGAAGGGAATGGAGCTGGGGAAGGGTCTGGAGCACAGGTCTGTTGAGGAGCAGCTGAGGGAGCTGTGGGGGCTCAGCCTGGAGAGGAGGAGGCTCAGGGGGGACATTCTCACCCTCTACAACTTCCTAACAGGAGGGGGGAGCCCGGGGCGGTTTGGCTCTTGTACCATGTCCCAGCTGAAAGGAGGAGAGGAAACGGCCTCAGGTTGTGCCAGGGGAGGTTCAGATTAGGTATTAGAAACAATTATTTCACTGTCAGAGTGGTCAGGCCTTGGAATGAGTTGCCCAGGGAGGCGGTGGAGTCACCATCTCCGGGAGTGTTCAGGAGGCGTCTGGATGTGGCACTTGGGGACGTGGTTTAGGGGTGATTGTGGTGGTGCTGGGGTGATGGTGGGACTGGATGATCTCGAAGGTCTCTTCCAACCTCGATGATTTCAAAACTTATGACCTGGAAGCTGAGAGCCAGATACAGACTCCTCTACTTTTAAGTGCATGTTTCAAGAGCCAGCCTAAACCATGATGACCTCCATGGGTAGTAGCAGCAGCAGCAGACAGGCTGTGCTTTGCTTGCAGAGGAGCTGAGGCACAGCATGCCCAACCTGGCCAGGAGCAGCCTGCGCGCTCTCGACTCCGTGAGGAGCAGTCGCAGCCTGGAGTCCGACCTGCAGGTGCCCAGCAGCCGGATTCCCAGGACTCAGCAGCGGTCAGCAGGTCAGTGCCTCATCTCCCACATCCCCCTTCGTCCCCTTTTCTCTCTTGAACCATCCTGAAGTGTTCTTCCCGCTGTGTTCCCCGGGGCAGGTCTGACTCCCAGCAAGCTCAGGTATTCCTCGGGTGCCGGGCAGTCCCCACTGACGGTGCGACCGCCTGTCAAGGCCGGCTCGGGCACCAACTCCCTGCTGGCCACCAGGCAGGCGGTGAAACCCTGCAGCTACACGGCCCCTGGCTCTGCAGTCAGGAAGCCACAGGCCCCTTCGCTTCACACGGGCTCTCCCAGCACCGGTTGCACTTCCAGAACCACCACCATGGTCACCGGGGCCAAAAATTCCGCCCTGAAGGCGCGAACGGCCGTGGGAGGGATGGCGGTGCCCAAGGGAAAGGCGACGGCCCCGGCCAGGAGGTGAGTGGGAGCACCAAACCTTGTGGATTCCAGTGACTGCCTTTAGTTCACAGCTTAGGAAAACTTCTTTATAAATCATGGAAACGGGTTGGGTTGGGAGGGACCTTAAAGATCAGCTGGAAGTAACCAAGACCAAACCTTCCGAAAAGAAAAACTCACTCGGGAGGTACCAGGTGGGCCTGGCATGGAAAGGCTCTAAATGAGGAGGGAAGGGAGGAAAAGGCTGCATCCCTCAGCCCCTCAGAAAACACCAGGGATCCAAAGAGCCCCTCAGCAGGGCCAGGAGGGATTGGCAGCTCTCGGGGAGTCAAGAACCACAGAAGCCCATCCAGCCCATGGGCAGAGACACCTTCCACTAGCCCAGGTTGCTCCAAGCCCCATCCAAGCTGGTCTTGGACAATTCCAGGGATCCAGGGGCAGCCACAGCTTCTCTGGGCAACCTGTGCCAGGGCCTCCCCACCCTCCCAGCCAAGAATTCCTTCCTTAAGTCATTTTCATCTCCATTTCTAAAGGGGGATGTGGGTTTGGAGCTGAATCTGAGCTACTGAATACCTTTAGATGGAATCATAAAATCACAGAATTGTGAGGGAAGGACTCAGCTTGGATGATTCTTGGCCAGTGAATCAAAAGGCAAAGGGTGCCAGAACCTTAAATACCTCTGACATTCAATTTTATGTGAACTGCCAGGCTGGGACTCATCACTTGGTGAGAGATGCCCCCTTTTTACCACATAATCTGTGAGCAAACCTGTCAATTTAAATCCATTTTAAAAAAATAAATGTTTTTTTAAAACAAAGCTGATTGCCAGGAAAATTAAGAAGCTCCAACTGATTTGTGTTAGAAATGAAAATGAACATTATTTGGTGCATAACCTGTGTTTTTGGGAAGGGGAAAAACTCTTACAAAGTACTTGTTAATGAAATCTTCCCAGCTGACCTACTTTTGGAGCCTCTGAGACTTTGCCTCTGGTAAAATACGTGTGGTGGGTTTTTTTTTCTTCCTTAGTCTTTAGCCAGGTCTGTAGGTTGGCATTGCCCAAAGCTTAATCGGGTTTTAGAAGGGTTGGGAAAGTGGGACAAATGAACAAGGCTTGATTTGAACATGATTTATACAACGGGGTGAAAGCAGAGCACGTAGAGTGGTGGCCAAAACCTTACAATTTTTGTTCTTGTTGCTATTTTTTTGCAGCTATTTATGCTACAGTTGGACAGCAGAGTTTCATGATTGAGGGAAATTAGGTAGATTCAGACTTATTATTATGTTCTGGCTGATATCAGACTAATAAACAGGGTTGATTGTTTTATGTCCCATTGCAGCCTTAAATTGAAATGTGTCTACCTTCTTTACAACCATCTTAAAAAGGGAGTTTGTAGCAGCACTCTGCAAACCTGATTATTTTTCACTTGTTCAGCTTTATTTGCAGGGAAAAAATATTTCTCTTGGACTCGGTGATGGGATAAAACCCCAGGAAAAGATGTTGGCAACTTGGCAGGGCAGGATCGATGGCAGTCCCTGAATTTCCCTAAACTGCCTGGAATTGGTGCTGTTGGTGCCCAGGGTGTGCCAGCAGCAGTTCCCCCCCACCCAGGAGGGGCAGGGAGATGTTGATGGTGGTAAATCCTCAAACCTGTGGCCATCACAGGTCGCTGAGGCTTTGCTTGAGCTGTTTTTTTTTTTTTTTATCCCAAACCAGGTTCCTTCAGTCGGCACAGACCCCCCCGGCCCCCGAGGATGACTCCTGGAAGGATGGGTGCTACTGACCCCCCAAAACACCTCCGTGGAGCAGAGCCCCAGCTGGCTGGGCATCACCTCCCTGGGCAAGGAGCCTCCAGCCCCCTCTCCCTGCAGACTCCTGTACATAACTCCTCACATTCCTGGGAAGCGTCCCCACCTCCTGCTCTGCCAAGAGCCCGACCTCGCCGCGGTGGGACCGGCAACGCCTTCCACCCACCACGAGTCTTCCCCAGGAAGACTGAAAATGGCCTTATTTCATCTGCCCCCCCTGCCTGCAGCCCTGGGGAAGGTCTGTCACCCCCACCCTGGGCTGTGACCCTGCTCCTGAGGGTGCTGGGAAGGCTGGGGGGGTCCTCTCTGTGCCAGGAAGCAGCTCTGAGCCGGTGCTGTGGGGAGACTAGAAATAGTGACCTAGGTGTTAGAATTAAGACTTTTTAAAATCCAACCTGACGTGCTCTAATATTTGTCTGAAACTCAACTGTTTTGGAGTTTATTTTTTTGTTTGTTTGTTTGTTTGTTTTTTTACTTCTGTATAGAATGTATTTCTGCTACTTTTTATTGTTTGGTCTAGAGCTGCAGCAGGTTTTTATAACTGTAGAACACTTCAAACTGTTGTATGCAGGTGTCAGCACAGGCCACGAGTGAAGGAGCAGTACACAATATTTGTGTGGGGTGTGAACAGGCAGGGACAGGGGGATGCCAGTTCCAAACTGCTGCTTCCCAGCACCACCTTACTTACCTCAGCTGAGAGGAGGTGACCACCAGGTAAGAGCAAAAACTTTTTTTAAAAAAGAAATAACCCTCCCTGACAGCTTTGGCTTGAAGTGTTTGATCTCTCAGCTGGTTTCCCAACTGCCCTGACTTTTGTAGAAGTTTTTTTACTGTCTCTTAAGGATTCTATTCCGGTGTCCTTCTCCTCAGCAAGTGCTGGATGCTCCAAACACAGTCTTAGTCCAGGAAATATGCACTGATAGCAATGTTCTCCCTGCCATCAATGTGACCTTGAAATAGTGTAGTTTAATAAAATGTTATGGTGCTGAACGAGATCTGCTTTATTCCAACAGCGAGCCCCACTTGGGAGTGGGTTTTGTGCCAGGAAAGAGGCTTTTCCTGACAGGCTGGACTCTCAGAGCTCTGCCTGGGTAAACAGAGCTCCGTTGAACCTCTCTTAGGATGCAAGGAGGGAGATTTCCCTTGAATTCCTTGGAGTTCGGAAGGACAGAGCTCAGCATGTTCCCTGCACTTCCTTTTTTGGGCTCTTCCTTTATGGAAAACGTTCTTCTCTAAGCCTTCCAGCTGGTGGAACCTGCTCCCACTGATCTTCCCAGGGCACCCAAAGGTAAAAGAGCAGCAACATTTCTCTTTGATTTCTGTCCTGTTTGAGGGTTGTCCTGTTGTCTTTACTGTATTCCTGAAGGTGGGAGCACACTGGCATTTTCCAGGCACCGCCTGAGGTGAGACCTGCTGTTTTTTATGGATCCTTATTACCAGATAAATGAACACCAGATAAGTGTCACTGATGGAAGGTGATACTGTAGTTAAAGCCTGTCAGGCAGGTAGGTTGGTGTCTCTGCAGCCTGCATGGCTGTGGAGATCCAGACGTGGATACAAACTTCCAGGCTGACCAGAGAAGCAGAAAGGTGCTGAGCTTGGACTCTGCTTGGATTCATGGGAATTTTAAATGCAAATCTGATATGACAAACACCTGGAAGCAGCTTCAGGAGGGGAACATTGAGCACCAACCCCAGACCCATTCCCATCAAGGAACTGTTAATTCAGGTTTTCTCATTCCATTTTTCCAAGCCGTTCTCACCCCCAGTGCTCTCCCTTCAGCCTCCAATATCCTCCAGCATTAACAGGCAGCCAAGATAATAATCAGCAACTCAAACAGTTCCTGTGGGTTCCAGAGGAAATCCCAACTCCCTCATCCCTATGCACAAAGCTCCTTCCAAACCCTAACCCGGCATTCCCAAGGTGAGTGAAAAGCTTCCACAAAACCAAGGAGCTCTGCTTTCTGTACAGGAATTTTACTGAAATCAATCAAGTTAACTTTTGTTTTTACACTAATGCCTCAGTGCATCCTTTGAAAGGAAAGGAAGGGTTGGTTTTTTTTTTTTTTTTCCTTTGAAAATTATTTGTACATAAGACAAGAAATCATGGAAATGAACACGGTAACACCACCCCCACTCCCCCTAAACATGCACAGCTGTACAGGGGCTGCAGGAGCTGAGGGGGGGGGGGCTTTCTCCAAGCTTTACATTCCATTTACAGAAGGAGAAGCAGGTGCCAGTGGCCTCTGACACTGGTGGGGGGGGGGGGTGTCCCATCACCCTGGGTGAGGTTTTAGTCCAGCAGAACACAAATCTGAAGGAGCTGCGAGTTGAGAGGAGAACTCTTTATGTGGGAGCTGTGGGAGCTTCACTGTCACAGTGAAGGAGCAGCAGTGTCACATCACCCCCCTCCCCTGTGTCACCAGGACCCCACACCTCCAGCTCAGTCCCCAGATGAAGCCACCCCTTCTGTGCCACAATCCCACCCCACTTCCCTGGGATAAAGGAAGCAGATTCCTTGGGAGCCCTTGTGAGGGGTTTTTCTGGTTCTCCTCTGGGACAGGAGCCCATCAGCTCCAGGACACAAGTGTGGACACCCCTCCCCCAGGAGCCAGGCCTGGCTGGTGCTTCAGGGGGGCAGCTGGGACAGGAACAGCTCAGCTGAGCCTGCATTTGGTTTGAACTCTTGCCAGAGGAGCCCATTCCTGCAGAGCTTTTCTTCCCTCAGCCCTCAGAGCCCCCACCCAGCACCTCCAGCCCTTCTCTGTCCTGTGGTTTTAGCACTCACAGGAGGAGCAGCACAAGCAGCAGCTCCCTGACACCTGATCAAGCCAGAGCAACAGATTGGCCCCCAGATTCGCCCCAGCCAGTGCCAGCATCACACTCGTTCCAGTCCACCCTCCAAAGAGCAGCAGGAGAAACAACCTGGCTGAAAGCAGATCCCTGACTGCAGCCAGAACCACGTGCAACCCTCTCCTTTACTGTGTCCACCCAGCCACAAATCAAGGGGGGAGATGAGGAAGAAGTGAGGATGAAGAGGCAGCCATTCCAAACGCTGAGGTGACCCCCCCACCTGCAGGAAAACTCCCCCCTCTCGGTGCACTAAGCCCCGTTTGTTTTGTTACCCCCGGGATTAGACCCGTGACCTTCCCATGCTGAAGCACTGAGAGCCACATGTGGCCAGATGTGCATCTCCAGGAACTGTGGAAACTCAAACCATCTTGTCCCTGCCCTGGTAAGTTGGCTCAGCCCACCCCAAACCACCCTCTGGCTCCCTCCTCACAGGCAGGCCAGGCCCGTTCCCCATCCGAGTGCAAAGCCACAGGGAAGGAAAGGGATTCGTGGGGACAGGAAAAAGAACAAAGAAATCCCTTCCAGTAACCCAGCCCAGCCCACTCTGGAGGTCACAGCTCCTTCCGGGCCCCTTTGGGGTGATAAGGCAAAAAGTCTGAAGTCCTGGAGGGATGGAGGGACGAGGAGGTGGCAGAGGTGACGGGTGACTTATTCCGTAGGTTGCTTCTTCACGCTCCTGGGACTCATCTCCAAGGGACCAGAGGCAGCAGCTCTGGTTATTTCTGCACACAGCTGGGCCAGGCCAGCCCACCACACACCGCTGAGAGGATGATGTAGAGGATCACCTGGGGAGGGAAAACGGGAATTCTGTAGGGAACGAGGAATTTCCACCCATCCCTCAACTGCCACACACACGGAACCTCCAGTTACCAAACCCCTGAGGAACTTGGCCAACACCCTCCTCCCGCTGCCCAGCACGTGCATCCAAGGACAGGAAGGTGGCTCTGGTGTTTTCCAGAGGCTCTCCACACTTCCCAGGCCCTCCACACTTACAATGGACACGATGATGAGGACGATGGTGAGCTTGAGGTTCTTCATGCACATGGCCCGGGCGAGGTTCCTGCTGGTTGTTTTGAAAGTGACTGACTGCAAGGCAAAGGGAAAGGAGGAATTCATTCCCAAAAGAAGCTGCATCCCAAGAAGATCCATGCTTTTTCCTACTTCCCCAAACCGTGGCAGTTTTCTCCTCCAGAGCCATTTAACTCCTGCACAGAACTGAACAGGCACCAAGAGAAAACTCTCCCAACAACTCCAGGGACAGGATAAAGTGTGTTAGTAAGTCCAGAGCCAGCTTGGAAGGATTAAACATGGAATATCCCCAGGTCACAGGGCAATCCCTGTCTCTATCTCAGAGTAGTGGTGGGGTTCTCATCTCACTTCTGACCTTTTGGGAACTGAAGTGCTCCAAAATATTTCCAGATCCACTGATCTAATCCCCAACATATTCCAGGGGTTAATTAGTGTAAATACCCCTGCCAAAATGGGACAATCCATAGGGCCACTCATGCCAGCCAAGCCCCAGGGAGGACAAGTCCTTCAGTGCCAGAACATTCCTCCAGAATTTGGACTTCCTGTGTTTTATGGAGTCACAGAATGGTCTGGGGTGGAAAAGATGATCTTTAAGGTCTTTTCCACCCCCTGCCATGGGCAGGGACACCTCCCACTATCCCAAGTGGCTCCAAGCCCCATCCAACCTGGCCTTGGACACTTCCAGGGCTGGGGCAGCCACAGCTTCTCTGGGCAACCTGTTCTGGAAAGCTTGAATTGTCCCATTCCAAGTCTCCTCTCTGTATCCTGCAATTCCACTCCAAAATAGTTTTTGGTCACCAAACACCCACCAGGCTGGGTCAGTGCAGGGATTCCTGGGATGTTCCTGCCCAGGGAAAGGCAGCAGTAGCTGGATCTAGCCAATCCAGCAGCTCACTCCACTGGGAATTGCCAGTTTTCCCACCAACCACCCCCTGGGCAGAAACTGCACCCCTGTGAACTGCACTCCTGCCTCAGAGCCCATTCCCAGGCTGGAGAACGTCAGCCCTGGATCTCCCAGGACACTCAGGTAGGACATTCCCACTGGACACATCCCATGCCTTCATTTCCTGCGTGGTTTCCAAGAACCAGCACTCCCTGGGAGAGCTCCCATGGGAATTCACATTGTCCAGTTTATTTGGCTCTTTCCCAGGCTGGGAAGCAGCTGGAAAAAGAGCTCTGAGGAGGGCAGGGATAAGACACGACCCAGGGAAGGTTTCCCTGCAGGTCTCAATGCTCCTGTGCCTGTCCAAGTGTCCCCAGACACTGGTGTCCCCCTGCCCTGCTCCCTGTGGGGCAGGAACACCCTTTCCCAATTCCAGGGTCTCTCCCAGACTCACCGAATCCACAAGATTCTCTGTTTTATCGATCAGCAGCTCCAGCTTCTCCCCTCTTTGTGCCACGAGGTCTGGAGAAAGGAAACCAAAATCCAGATTGGGAGGTCAAATCCCAGCGCAAAAAAACTGCTTCCAACACCCAACCCCAAACCAGGAGCCCCTGGATGCAATTCCCAGCCTTCCTGGCACTGCCAGGTATTTCAGGAGCAGCCTCTCATCGCACAGGGGACTGATTTGGGTAAATTCCAGCTCTATTTGGAAGGGTCACATTTGTCAAACCCCAAAGCAGTGTGACAGAGAATGAAAGGGGCTCCAGGCAGCCCTTCCCAAGGGAAGCAGGTACCTATGTTCCGGACCATGATCCCTTTGAGCTCATCGATCTGCGCTTGTGTCTCTGCCACCTGGTCAGGGCCTTTGCTCTCCGAGTGGTATTTCTGCAACAGAGGACAGGCAGTGACAGCAGCAGCTCAACAAATCAACAGGCAGTGACAGCAGCAGCTCAACAAATCAACAGGCAGTGAAAACAGGACCCTCAACGTTCCACTTCAGACCTTTCACACAAAAAAAGGCAACTCTGCTCCCTGCAGAACAGCACAGACAGAAATGGGAGTTTTCAACCCACCCAAGGAGTTTGTCAGTGGGTGGAAGACCAAAATCTGACTTTTTTTAGCCATTTACAGATCCCACCCCCACCCCTGCTCCCACGCTGGTGCCCGGAGGGCCCAGAAGTGACAGCCCCCTTTGGAAGTGGGAGCAACTGGCAGCAAGGAAGGGGAGTTCAGGCAGGAAGCAGGAG